TCACAAATCTTATTTTCACAACACCCCTGTTTGACGGAGTAGTATTATCCCCATTCTACAGATGGGGAACAGAAGCACTGAGAGATTAAGGTAAAAAATATCCACTAATTATAGGTGCCGAATCAGGCTATGTCTTCACTAGAAACACTGCAGCAGCACAGCTATAGTGCTTCAGCGTATACTCTCACTAGAGTGACAGGAGGGGTTCTCCCATCATTGTAGTTAATCCACCTCCCCAAGAGGCAGTAGCAAGGTTGGTGGAAGAATTCTTCTATCGACCTAGCGCTATCTACACCAACGGTTAAGTTGACTTGGCAAATTGCTCAGCAGTGTGAATTTTTCACACTCCTGAGGAATGTAGCTGGGTCAACCTAACTTTTTAGTACAGACCTGGCCTTAGAGAGAGAATTTTTCAGAGTACTTTGCAATATAACACTTTGTATGTTCAAAATACAGTTCCCATTGACTTCGGTTGCAGCTGTGACTGCTCAGCACTTCTGCAAATCAGACCCCAGTCTCAAGTCAGGCACCCAGAAAAAGATGAACACACATATAGTGATAAAGTATTCCTGAGGGAATTCTGCACCAATGCGCATGCGCAGAATTTATGTCCCCTGCAGATTTCTTTGCTTCCTCCTCTTTGCTATCCCCACAACACCCAGACACCCCCCTGCTGAGTCCCAACCACCTTCACCTGGATTCCCCTGCAGAGTTCCATTACCGTTGTATCCAGATCCCCCCTGCACCCAGATCCCCCACCGAGCCACCCACACCCAGACTGTCCCACACAGAATCCTCTCAACCCACACCTGGATCCCCCCACACTAAGCCTCTCCACACTTGGATCCTGCCTTGCTGAGCCCGTCTGCCCACACCTGGTACGGAGGGGAAGGGCAGTAGGGTGTTTCCGGGGCAGACCCAGTCCTTGCGCTGTGTCAGGGTTGTGTGCAGCCTCACCGCTGAGTCCGTGTCCTCCCGTGATCTCCCACCTCTGTACAGCCAGTGGCCTGTGCTCCCCTGTGCCACGCTGGAGCCTCCACATTTATTTGACAAATAAAATTTGTGGTATTTTGTAGAATTTTAAAATATTGAGCACAGAATTTTTAATATTTTGGTGCAGAATGCCCTCAGGAGTACTTGTGAAATGCTTGGTTTCAGTGACTTTCTCAGCATCACATAAGGACTCTTAAGCAGAGCCAGGGATAGAATCCAGTTTCCCAAGGCAACACTGAACTGTCTTAACCATTAAAATCATTGTGACCCAGGGACCTCCTGGTTCCAACTGTCTGAGGGCATAGGGGTACATACAGATCTGGTATCTTCATACTAGTTTGTCAATGTGCATCACGTAAGGTCTCTATTGACAGCCTGTGTCACACTGGTCATCATAATCCTTGCAAAATGTATTATGGATAATATGTAAGGAGTTATGTATATATACTGCAAATTATGTTCTTGAGAATTGTGACTTGTCACCAGGTAACAAACAAGTTTCTTTCAGGCAAATGATGTTTATCTGACCGGCTATATGTAAATTGAGTATTGTATGATTCACAAAGGATGCCTATTTACACTCTGAGCCCAGTGCTAAGAAAGGAACCATAAAATCTTCAAGAGAGGGGATTTACAGGCAGAAATAAACGTAGGCAATTTCATTCTCCAGTCCTGAAGTTTGTAGTCCCAGTGAAAGTCTCTTTGTCCAGCCAAGCCCAGTTCCCTTCCCTATCTGATCTGTCTCTCGCCTTCCCACCTGGCCTTGGTTTACGCTCCATTTTCTCCCACCCCACTGTCTCCCAGTCCCAGTCTCCCTCCTCAGGCTCTTGGTCCAGTCTCTTTGCCCAGCCACTTAGGGTGTCCAGAGAGCAAATGTGAAAAATCGGGGGGGGGGGGGTAAATAGGAGCCTATAAGAAAAAGACCCCAAAATCGGGACATCTGGTCACCCTACAGCCACTCCAAGTTCTTCCCCCATACCCTGGCTCCTTGTCAGATCTGTCTGACCTTCCATTCCCTACTACCCCCGACTGGCTCCCCAATCCCATCTGTGAAGTGGGAATAATAAAACTTCCTTCTCTCACAGGGGTGTCACAAGGATGAATGCACACATTTGCGAGGCACTCATATAGGGGGGACGGTAGCTCAGCATCACAGAAAGGCTTAGCAGAGTTGCCAGCTCTCACCATACATTGAGCCCTTGCTCCCGGATTCATGAGATTCCATGAGAATGAGGTCTGGCTCATATACCAGTATAACAATGTCCCTTAGGCTAGGTCTACACTACAGCGGGGGGTCGACCTAAGATACGCAACTTCAGCTACGTGAATAGCGTAGCTGAAGTGGCGTATTTTAGGTCGACTTACCTGGCTGTGAGGACGGCGGCAAGTCGACCGCTGCCCCGCCGCCGTCGACTCCGCTACCGCCTCTTGCCGCGGTGGATTTCCGGAGTCGACGGTAGAGCCACCAGGGATCGATTTTATCGCGTCTTCACTAGACGCGGTAAGTCGATCCCCGATAGACCGATTGCTACCCGCCGATCCGGCGGGTAGTGAAGACGTGCCCTTAGAGATGTGATCTGGTTTTTAACTAGCACACCTCTATTAGCACCAAGCCTCACCGGGACAGACGCGGTTATGCTGGTATTTAAAACACCTTACACCAGGCCAGCTCACCCCCCTAGCACGTTTATGGCGTGTCACTGCGACCACACTGGGCGGGTTGTGGCCCTGGCAACAGCACTGGGGTAGTTGACGCACCACAGCTGGGGCGTGCAGACAAGGCTTTCGCTTTGCTGCTAAGCAGTAAACGTCTAACCCCCCCCTTCCCCCCGCGGCACAGAAAACCCCGTGCCCGGGGGGGCGCCTCCAGCCCAGCCCCCGAGACCCCGCCCCCCACGGTGCGCTTTAAACCCCGCCATAGGCAAGACAAACTGGGGCGGTTGCGGAGCGCAGGGGGGGCTCACAGGGCTCTTACCCCTTGGCCCTGCCGGCGCGGGGGGGGCAGCGGCTGCCGCCCCCCTCCAGAGACCGCGTCTCTGCCCCGAAGCCGGGGGGAAGGGGGGGATCGGCCCTGGAATGGCGCCAGGGTCCCTGGGGCGCGGGGGGAGACTGGGCTGGAGGGAGCAGGGGGCTAATGACCGGCTTGTGCTGCGCCCGCAGAGCCCCTGGCCTGGCCTGGCCTGGCCTCCCCCCCGGGGTTAGGGTCCCCCCAGCTCACCCGGCCGGGCCGCGCCACCTCCCAGTTCCGCTCGCCGCCGCCGGCGCCTGCGTAGCTTCCCCGGCTACTTCCGGGCCGGGGCCCAGCACCGCCCCCACCCAGTGGCCCAGGAGTAGCCGCTGCTGCCCCCTCCCGGGTCGGTGCGCGCAGGGTCCTCGCAGAGACCCGCTGTCCTCGGTTGGGGAACCCCCGCAACATCGCCCCACAGCCCCCCAAATCATATAACCCCCAAACCACCCCCACAGCCCCATCGGATTCTGCTCTCTCACTGCCCTACAGCCCCCAACCCCTCCTCCCACCAAACACCAACCTCTTGTTCCCCGGACCCCCTCCACAATCCCACAGCCCCACCGGATACCGTCTCCTCCTAGCTCCCCACCTCCCACGAAACGCTGGGTCTCACACCATACCATAGATCCACCAGATTCCACCTCCTCCCATCACCCTATAGCCCCACCAAATACTGCCCTCTCTCAGCACCTGGTGGCCCCACCAGATCATGCGCTTTGCCCCCAAGTGCTCTCACACTACCCAGTAGCTCCACTGAAGGCCACCTCCTGACACTGTTCCTGTACCCCATCATTGTTGTCCTGCAAGCTTGGCTTTACTACTGTCTCACTGGTCTTTCTTTCAGTGTCACACAATGGCCCCATGCTGTGTTCCGTGTCCTTCAATTAAGTACCCTATTTCCCTCAGAATCTAACCCTCTTTTCATTTTAATCCCCAATATTACCAACGCACCAAAGAAATCAAAATTTTGTTTTGACTGGATTTCCAAACAAAAAAACCCAAAGCAAATACCCCACATGGCCTGAGGAAAGAGAGCAAATTTAAGGGTAACAGTTGGGCCTGCAACTTTCATACAAGTTTCCCTATGAAAGCAAATAATTCTCATTTAATTTTACTGAAATGTGGGCTGAGGAGGCATGTAGCATCAAGAACAAGTCCTCCAGTACAGGGAATTGATCAAGAAAACAAACACCTAAATATACAACCGCTATCAACATTTCTCACATCTTGCCCCATTGAGACTGAATTCTTGATCCTGGTCAAGATCAAGAGAGGTTGTAATGAGGTTGGGATCAGCGCTTAACTGTACTTGAATTCATAAAATCTTAGTTATCTGGTCCTCCCATAGGATCAGTAAGTGCAGATACCTGCTTCTGTGTGGAGCCCTATTAAAGCCACTGGGGCAATTTGGAGACACAGGTGTTCCCCCTTATGGATCAGTATGCAGGATTAGGACCTAATAAATTGCATTTCTGGTGATAGCTTTCAGCAATTGCCCCTACTGTAAACTTTGTAAGTGTTAGTACAGATGAAAGATAGAAATGTTTTCAGTACTGTTTCAGAAAGCAAAGTTGCAAGCACCCTTTGATGTGGTATTGAAAATAGTTTTTTCTTCTCTTCAGTGGCACTTAAACCATTTTTGTATCAGGTCAGGGAAAGTACTTGCTGAAAACCAGTGTTGGCAACTCAACTCAGTATTGTAAAAAAGGCTTTAATCTTGACACTGTCAAGGAGTATAGTCAAAGTCTGAGAATGATACTTTAGATCATAACTTGCAGATTTTCAAACCCTAGCTGTATGACCTGATACAATAGTTTCTGACACCTTTTACAGCCCCCAAAGGAGGTACATAACAAATTAGTGAAGTTGAAAGCTTGAAATAACATAGGTTTCTTTTCTTTAAAAGAGTGAAGATTTCTCGAACCTCAGATTCAAGGTTTTGCTTTTCTGATAACGAAATTTACAAGAAGAAGCGGTGAGATAAGTGAGTCTTGCTGGGATGGAGGTAAACTTGGATTTTAAACCTCATAAAAGACAGTATTTTTTTTTGTAGTAGTAGTGCTCCAAACATGCTAAGTGCTGTACAAACACAAGATGACAAAATCTCAGCCCAGCAGGCCTTACAGTTGAGACTTATGTTATGTACATCAGGCGGAGAGTTAATTTTTCATTTGAATATATATTTTGACATGAATTTAGTATTTGTAAAAGGTACCAGATTGACAGCTCTGAATCCTGCACTCCTATTTATTTATATCCACAGAACAATTCAGCACAGACTGGAGTGCTTCACCATTTTAAAGTTTAATTCTAGCACCCAGTGGTTAATACAGTGAGACTGCACTAATAGCCATCTGAAGTCAGTGCTTTTTAAATCTGGAGATGATACTGCTGCAAAAAAATCCCTCTTCCCAACTAATAGGGTTATAATTTATAATTTGCTTTTAATCAAAAAGTCTTAAGTATAAACGGTTGTAAATTGCTTCAAAACTTTATAGTTGTCACCCTGGCTGTACTTATTTTTTGGGGTAGGGGGCTTGTGGAGACGCGTAGCCACAACAAAAAAGACTCATTTACTACATTTACATTAATATGTTACTGTTTCATCCATAAAAACAGAATCCCAAGACAGAGCTGAATGAAATCACCATAAGACCTTCCCAGTGCCCTAAAGTAAACATGGATGTAAGTATATGTTTCTAGTTACATTTACGGGATTTAATTTGGTATCATATACATATTCTCTTTTTTGTGGAAATTTAAAGAATAATAATGTAGTCTGGAATAAGCGAGGTGAGGTGCTGTGTACTACTAGGCTATGATCTTGGGGATATTTTGGTTGGGTGGCAGTCTACTAGTGAATAGCTTCTTCCTTTTTCCAGACTGTCATCACCTTACTCTGTGTAGTCTCTTACCGTGACATTTGCCTTCAACCACCTCCCACTGTGTCGCTTTGAGGAACAGACATCCATATATGCAGCTACTCCTATATGAAATGTTCTCTCCCCCCTATGAATTGTCCTCACTTCAGTGCTACATCCAACATACTGTGGTCCTTGTGTACTTCCCTTCCTGAAATACACATTAGTTCTCTTCTCTTCACCAACCTTCCCACAGATTGGGAGAATCATAGGTGACCATCTGTAGCTAATACTTTGTTTGTTTAATAAACCAGTTCGTTTTAAATGCAAAGCATGTTTTGATAAACTTATTTTTCTCCCCCTTATGTATTCAGCATAGTTAAGATAGTTTTATTTAATGCAAAAAATTTAAAATGCTATTTTTGTGCATTTGTAATTGAATTCCAATTTTCCTCCAACTGCAGGTTGACACAAATCACAAGTAAAAAATTAATTATAATCTAGTAAATAATAAATGTCATTTACCATTTTAAAATATAATAAAAATGTAGAAGTTAAGACTCTTAATAAATGTATGCTAAGCTATATAATTGCTTAAATAAATGTGTACAGATATAGTGAATCTATTTGACTAGCAATAGGGAGTACCAAATTTAGTGTAAAGGCTATATTTATGTGCAAATCAATATGTTTTAATGTTCACCAATCAATGAGAATCAACCTTTCCTTAGGAAAATAATTAAAAAATACAAATGTGAAACAAAATTAAAATCAATTATTTAAATCAAGGTATTGTTTGCTGATTTAAATCATAGTTAAAATTCGTGATTTATAGAATCATAGAAATGTAGCACTGGAAGAGATCTCAAGAGGTCATCTAGTCCATCCCTCCATGCTGACGCAGGACCAAGTATACCTAGACCAGTGATACTCAGACCTCAGTAGTTCAGAAGTCAAATTAGAGATCAACATTATCCAAAAGAGCCACAGTAGTGTGAATTCATTGTTTCATTTACTATATATATATATATATATATATATATATATATACACACACACTCACAGAAAAATGATTGACCAAGTATTATTATTTTATCAACTACAATTGATAAATAACATAGTAAAAGCATCCTGATTGGTTAATAACTTAAATTGGTTAATAATTAAATCACACAGTGTTTTAATATCATGTGCTGCAAAGAGCGGCAGGAGATATATTAAAGAGCCAGTTGCAGCTGGCGAGCCTCAGTCTGAGTACCACTGACCGAGAGCATCTTGATAGGCGTTTGTCTGTTCTTAAAAACCTCTCACTTTGATTTAAATCAATCCACCATGCAGTTTTATTCAAGTACCCTGGCTTAAGTCAAACCATTTATCAAATTTAAAATTAGTATACAGAAACAGACAACACTAAAAGAAATTGTCTATGATCATGGGAGTTCTGTGCCAGCAGCTCTCCCTGCTGCTAGCACAGAACTCCTGTCAAAGCAGTATTGCAGCTGCATGAAGGGCTAGCTTGCATTCTCCCACCTACACTAAAGGGTTGGGGGGAGGAGTCGGATAGAAAAATGGATAAAAATGTTAAGCTGTACACAAAGCCTAAAAGTATACCAAACTCTTGCTGCTGCAATTTTGATCAGTTACAATAGAAGGCAATCAAAAAATTACACTGCCTAAAACAGGGGTTCTCAATTTTTTTTAATCTTAAAAGATTACTCAAATCAATCTTAAAAGACAGATTTTCTTGTGGACCTTCTCCCCTACCATTCATGATTGTGTGGATTACTTTGTCTCCCATTCTTGATCCTATAACCTCCTTTTGGCAACTATAGCAATTATTTGTGGCAAAATAGAGTTAGGAAAGTACTTAGTGTGTTTTTAGCCTCTTTTTATGTAATTTAGCAATTAGAAGGCAGGGAGTAGCCAGCTTGGTGAAGACTAGCAAGTGTTCTGTGTTCCATGTGTAGTCCATATACCACAATTTCAGAATCAGTGGCCTGAGAAATTATGTTTAAAAAAATAAACCAAGTCTAGAATTGTAATGGCATCATCTGTTTTATTTGTTGCAGTTGCAAATGGAGCCGGAGTTAAGCTTCAGGAAATTAGTAGAGAGTTCAGAGTGTCCAGAACAACTGAAATACGACTTCAACAAAAATGGTGAACTGAAGCATCTAGATACCAATGAGCCCTTTGTCTTTAATTATTATAAAAATGCACATGAGAGTAACCATAAACGCTATCAAGTTCTGGGGCATCTCATTACACGGTATGTTTATGAGCTCCTGGAAAGAGTCTGCAAGCTTCAGAAAGTCCATATCCCAACAGATGCTACAGAAGATGAACCCAGGAGTTTATTTTTCATCAGTGAGAAAGCATTAACTAATTCCTCAAGCCTAATCGTGCTCCTACAAGACCGTGGAGTCTTTCGGGCTGGTCAATGGGGGCTGAAGACCATAATCCATGAGGGCCTGGACCCTGGAACTCAAATACCATTCATTAAAACAGCCCTTCAGTGCTATGGAGGAGTGATTGTTTTAAATCCCAATGACAATTTCATTGATCTGAAGATGGAAGATGAGTGGTTAAGTTTATCTACCAAGGAAGAATCTTCCACTGTAAATTCCTCCTGCTGGATCCCAAAGAGGTGCAGCAGCAGCCCTGAAGAGCACACCATTTACATTTGGGATCATTTTATTTCAAAGAGCGCAGCCAAGAATGTGGCCTTCATTGCCCATGGCTACGGAGGCTTGGTTTTCATCAACCTGCTCATGCAGAGAACATGGGAAGTGATGAATAAAGTGTATTCTGTGGCACTTATTGACTCCATGCACCACACATTACACCAGGTGAAAAATAATCCACAAGTGCAAGAATGGATACAGAAACATTGCCGTGAATGGATAACAAACAGTAAACCTCTAGATAGACCCACAGGTTCCCTTGTGAAAGTGGACTGTCCTACAGTCTCTGCTGGGACTGAAAAATACAGTTTAGCACCATCCTCCACCTTACAGGCCATTTTCAAGTACCTGAAGAGCACACTGAAAGCTAAGAACACAGTAGCTTTATCTCGTTCTCCTATTGTAACAAGGAGCAGCAAAAATAAGAAGAGAGGCAATACATGCTGAAGTATTTTTCAGGACTCTTCTCCCTCTTTAAAACCACTCCGTGGAAGCTTGAAACTGAAGCTGCCATGTTAGTTTCCTTGCATTGCAGAGTGATTTATAGCCATAAGGGTGATATTGGGTTTCTGATTTTTATTGTTGTTGAAAAACTAATTGGGATAACAAATAAAGTTATCACCAAATATTAGAAAAGTTTGGTCTTTTCTTTTTGGAAGCTAATTATTGCAGTTTCAAAAAAAAAAATAATTCATGGGAGCTTTAAACTTGAGCTCTGCTGTTATTCCTGCACTTTACAATGGTACATAGTAACGGTGTTAAGATGAGCCAGAGTTTACCTGTGTTGATTCTGGAAGCTTATGTTGTGAAGTTTTTGCATATCTGAGCTAAGTAGATTTTGTCAGCAAAAAATCCGTAAATTTCACTGTAAAGGGCAATTTGGCATATGTGATTAATGCTAAAGACCCTACAAATCTAACATTAGCCTATCCACTCACCTGGCAGTGCCCAGCGGTTCCTTAAATATCCTCCAATATTTTTTCCAGTCTTGTTTTGGATGTCTCAAGCACGGGGGTTTCTACTGCTTCCCTTTGGACACTAGTCTGTCATCTAAAGATTCTTCACTGAACCATACATTACCACCTTCCTCCAGTCAGAGAAATGAGAGAGTCTAAATATAATATACAGTGGACCAAATTTATTATCAGTGTCATTCCAATGAAACCAGTGAGATTACTCTAGTAATTAATTTGGCCTCATTTAACTCCTTTTCAGACTGAATGATTGCAGCATGTTGGAAAGTAAAATAACCCCCCGTTATTTGTATAGTAAATGGAAACAAAATGGCTATTCTTGGCTCCTATTCGCATCAGTGGGAGTTAAGGATGCTCAAGTCCTTGCAAGATTGAGCCTTAAAAGATGTCAGAACGTTAATGTTTAGTTGTGGCCTCACTTTCCATTTTGGCCAGGATCTTTTGAGGGTATGGTTGTGCCTGAAGAATGAGTAATAGTTTCCCTCTATCTTTTTGCTCAATGGTAGACTTAACCACGCTCTGCTGCTGCTTCTAGGAATTCCCACTCCACTGCTAGCAATAAGGGACAGAATTATTTACTTACATAGGAAGGCAGTAATTGGTGAAATATGCAAAATGGAAGGGTTATTTTAAAACAAAAATGAAAAAACGGTCAATTGTTTGCATACTGTTCCTATTGAGAATAGTATTAAGTGATCACAAAGCAGTACACGCTCATGCTTTAATGTGATTTGTTCACTCATCGATGCCACATCAGAGATACTTTCACCCTCAAAGCACCATTTCATAACCATTAGATAGTGTGCATCTCAGAGAATAATTTATGTGACTCATACAAGTAAACATGTACCTTTATTTATAAGAAAGTGACAGAATGTCTGTCTTCAAAGGGTGACCAATATGATCTTCAAGATGAATACACAAGTTTTGCTCATCTCAAATCAATATTTAAATTCCTTGATAGAGAAGGTCATATTTGGGAACATTTTTTGGATCAATAGGACTTCGTACGATGAGCTTTCCGCGCATTGCTCCACGGTAAATCACTTCAATCAAATCTATGAAGTCTTGCTTTGTTTTAAAGCTTCCCACAAATTTAGTGTGATCTGGAGACCTATGGAGCAGATAAAGACAGTAGAAATGTAAATGCCTGTTAAAGTGTATGAAACAAACTTTTTAAAGACATGAAAACGTATACAACAGAAAGGAGAATTTTGATTTAGTCATTCTTATGGCTTGAACTACTCTGGTATGGTATACATGAAGTAAAGAGACAAGGCAATATAGAAATTATTGTGACCAGACTTCAAAAACCTAGAAAAATTGGGTGGTATGACCAAGAATTTAACATGGAGAACAGAGTCAAGTGTAACATTATACTGCACATCATCTGTGAAATGTATCAAAGAGTTTTTTTACACAGTACTAAATGAGAGGGAATTTCAAAATGGAAGGCGTAGTTCAGCATCTCTGCCCATTCATTACTTGGCCTTCTCTCTTTCAATATTCATGCAACTACTGACAAAGGAAAGTACAGTTTTCTCAAGCCAGCTCATAAGATAACACAGGCAGAGACTATGCTACTTATGGTAAACAGAAGAGAACCTCATGCAAACTGACATACCCATAATCCACTTTCATGTGCTGTCCATTGAAGAAAAAGACAGTAGATGGAATATAACTGATGTCAAAATACTGGGTGTACACTGGCACCTTGTTCACATCCACCAAGTAAATGGCTGCCATTTTACTTAAGTCATGAGATGTCTTTGCAAGCTTTAGAAATTGAGAAAGACATGATCAAAACAGATTCTAACATGAGTAGGCAAAACATGCCAAGTTTAAAAGCACAGCTGTAATTGCTAACCTTGTTTTTTAAATAAGGGAGAGTCAGAAGTAGTGAAAGACAGATCTTTATCTTTAACAAATTTATTTTATAATTAATTCATAATCGGGTTGCTGCTTTTTTCCAATATCATGTTTTGGTCACTGTAAAGAATCAGTTGTGCAAGCATAAGGAAGCAAAGATCTCTCTCATGGCAATTCATTATCAGATGGAGAAATGTTTGTCTTATGAGAAGACATCATGGATATTTTAACATTACTGAATTTTAAATATAAATATTAGTCCATCTTGTTTCAAACATAAGCAGCATGGACTAGTGATCGTAGCATGAGACCTGGAAACAGAAATGCCTGATTTGTAAGACCACGTCTACCATCTGCTGGATGGCCAAGGGCAAGTATTTAACTTCCCTTTGTGTGCATTCACACTGGGGGAAAAAATCAATCCTGTAATTTTTCACTAGTGCACTTCCACCACTGGCAGCAATGGTGGAAGCTGTATTGCAGAAAGGGTACAGCTGTTTTTATTACTGTGTAGTCTAACTGCTCAGGTGAAAGAATCCGGAAGAAATCCTGGCTCCACTGAAGTCAATGGCAAAACTCCCACTGACTTCAGTGGGGCTAGGATATAACTCCATGTCTTTATTCTCTCTGTGAGGTGTCCTGCACCCCTAATTGTACTATATACAAATGCTATAAAGTAAAGTTTATATAGCACTTTTCAGTTTCAAAGTTCTTTGCAAACAATGATTAAGGCTATTTTTAGTAAAAGTTACAGACAGGTCCCACACAATAAACAAAAATTCACAGCCTGTGTGGGACCTGTCCATGACTTATACTAAAAATACCTGTGTTTAAATGGGGGAGGGGCATGCTGTGTGTATGTGGGGGGGCTGCTGCTGGAGGGCGCATGGGGGGGGGCGCGCTGCTGGGGAGGGTGTCTGCGGCCAGCGGCTCCAGCTGCCAGGGACCACAGACTACAACTGCTCCAACCGGCTGTCCAAGGACTCTTGCCCAGGGTTGTGGACGCTCCGGCCAGCTGGCTGGGGACTGGTGCCCAGGACTGCGGCTGCTCCGGCTTGCCAGCCAGGGACTGCTGCTCAGGGTCTCGGACTGCAGTAGCTGGCCCTGGAGCCAGCTGCTTGGGCGGCCCTGGGGTCAACCCCACTGGCCCATGCAGAAGTCACGGAAAGTCATGGAATCCGTGACCTCTGTGACAGACACGGAGCCCTAACAATGATTAATTTTCACCACACTCTTATGAAGGGAGTGAAGTATTCTCTAATTACTCCACTTTACATTTCATTCTCAGTACACTAATAACTTAATAGTAACCTGGCTCCTTCTATATTATGTGATAGTATCACGTCATTTCATTCTGTTGCACTAAATGTGTATGTAATGATTGGCATAGCATCAATAAAAGGTTTTTAAAAATTACTCTTACAATATCATCCAATTGCAGACAAACAGGATCATCATCTTTCCCAAATCGAAGAACCAAAACTTTCTCTGCTACACTTTTTATTGCCTGATCCACTTCCTTTTTACTGGTCAGTTTGGGCAGCAGGAAGCTCATCTTGATTGAAAATGGCTCCAGATATCAAACAATGTATCTAATTATTAAAAGAGACACTGTAAAAATTAGTAAACCTGCCTCCATACCACACACAAAAAAAGTAGTTGATTAGATAATGAGCCCATCTTTAAGTGTTTGCTCAAGGCAGTCTACTCTATTAGGATTTCTTTTTCTAAGGGGCAAGAGAAAAACATACTGCTCCAAATACTAAAAATTAAATATTACTACACAGTGCAGCATTCTGCAACAGAAAGAACAGCTTACTTACATACCTGTCTGTTATATCATGGGCTTCAGAGAGAGTTGCACACAGACATAAAGATTATCAATTTTAAAAACAACATTTAAAAAAGGCTGTGTGAATTATTTAAATATGGGGCTATTGTCAAAGAAGGTGATATATGGGATATAAAGATGTGAGAGGAAAAAAAGGATAGCGTTGTGAGCAGCTGGAGAAAAAGTAGATCCCTAAAGACAAGGGGGGAACTATCAATTTACATTTTGTACAAACACTAGGTTGTCCGGCCACTGCAGTTCTATCTAGTTAGTTCAGTTATATCAAAAAGGTCTGGAAGCACCCTGGAACACAGGGATCGGCAACCTTTGGCACATGGCCCGCCAGGGTAAGCACCCTGACGGGCCAGGGCGGGCCGGGCCGGTTTGTTTACCTGCCGCGTCCGCAGGTTCGGCCGATCACAGCTCCCACTGGCTGCGGTTCACCGCTCCAGGCCAATGGAGGCGGCGGGAAGCGGTGGCCAGCACATCCCTCGGCCTGCGCCACTTCTCGCTGCCCCCATTCACCTGGGACAGCGAACCGCGGCCAGTGGGAGCCAGGATTGGCTGAACCTGTGGACGCGGCAGGTAAAAAAAACGGCCCGGCCCGCCAGGGTGCTTACCCTGGCGGGCCACGGGCCAGAGGTTGCCGATTCCTGGTATAACAGAAGACCCGCTGAAGAACATACATTGTTGACAGTAAATATAAGATATGATGCAGTCAGAAAACCAAGTCCTCTATGCCACAGCATGTCCACTTAGGGTGACCAGATATCCTGATATTAGGGGCTATGTTTTATATGGGCAACTATTACCACCCCCACCACCAAAAAAGTGTCTCAATTTTTCACCCTTGCTATCTGGTCACCCTATGTGCACTTTACATGCACAGCCTAAATCAGTGGTCCCCAATCTGGTGAAAGGCTGTCAACTTTCACCAGACTGAGACCTCAGCTGTACCAGCCACCAAATAAAATGTTTGAGATTTAAGAGAGACCTATTAGATCACTCAGTACAGCTCCCTGCCAAAGAAGGACTGCCTCCTTCAGCACATTTTCTAGCACTTTGTCTAGTCTAAAATAACTTATGCAATGGAGTTGCAATCACTTCTTTGGGAGACTGTTCTACAGCACAGTACAACTCACTCTCCCAGGAAGTTATTTCCCCGGATAATCAGCTCGAAATTTCTTTTTCTTTATTTATCACATTATTATATCCCCATATACCACACTATGTAATCCCTCTACATCACAGATGTTTACACCGGCCAATATTTCTTTACTGTTATTGCATCTTCTTCAACTTCCTCCCTAGTCTTCATCTAGCCAAGCTCTAATATTTTGCTCCTTTAACCTTTTCCTCATGTCAGGCTTTCCAGATAATTTCTGTTACCCTGCTCTGAACTCCTTCCAAGTTGTCAATGATGGACAACGGATGGACAGAGCCACGGATGGACTGATAGCCCAGCTGCAGACACCGCAGAGAACGGTGCTGTGTCCATTGCCCTGTGGAGCATGACGCCTTTTGAGGAGAGAACTGAGCCTAGGGGCTCCTCGGAGCCATACCCTTCCCCCACCTGGGGACATGAGGCCCCTGCATCTGCAGCCTCCCTCAATCACACGGACTTCTTCTGGCCGCCACATGCCATTGCAAACTCCTGCCCATCCCCCGCCACCACTGGGCTCCCCCGTCTCGTCCCAGTGTGAGCCCGGGAACCTGCCCCGATCTCCAGCTGCCTGCAGGCAGCGCAGTAGGACCCTGGGGGAAGGAAGGAACCTAGATTTGCAGCTGCAGAACCCTGAGGACCAGGACGGGAGGACACCCAAAGATCGAACCGCCACGCCAGTCTGTCGGACAGAACCACTCAGCACGCACGCGCAGATCCTACCCTCTGATTGGCCACAAACCGAAGCCAATCAGAGGGGTGAAAAGCAGGCCAGCCCAGCGGCGCGGCTGCTGGAGCTTTTTCCCCTTCCGAGTGAGGGGCAGGTGGGTCCGGCACCGAGAACCCTCCGGCTGGAAGTGGAAGCGCAGCGAGTCGGAGGGTTCTCGAGGTGGGACTGGGTAGTCGGGGCGAGAAGCACGTGGGGAGCGGTGCCCTGCAGGTGCGTGTTCGGGGTGGGCACAGGACGCCGAGTTTCAGCACAGCCGGAGCCGCCCCGGTGGAAGGGAGGGGGCCCCTGACTCCCCAGGGTCCTGCAGCGGGAGGCCCCCCTCCATTGGGGTCCCCAGGCGCCGCCGGGGTGGTAGCCGAGGGCCATGGCAGTGGGGGGAGGGTAAACACCGACCTGGCCTCTCGTCTGCTGCGGGGCGGCCTGTAAAGCAGTTGCTCATGATACCGGTCCCGGTGTCACGCGTGGGGCGGGGGAAGTCCCTGTCTGGATCACTGAGCCCCGTGTGCGTGCACGCCACCCACCCATCTGTGCAGTAGGGATAATAATGTTCATTGGAGACTGAACGATAATGTATGACAAGTGCTTTGAAATGTAAAATGTATATGTACTGGCTAAGCATTACGGGTTAATTTTAAGATCGTTTTAAAAGCATCTACTTCTGCAGTTTTCAGTAGAAGGGACAAGCAAGTTCTTTAACTCAAATGATCATCTCATCACAGACCTGCTTGCATATTTGAAGTATATAATTTGTTAAAGTCTCAGTGGTTTGTTTTTGTCCTGTTCCACAGAATGGAACATTTTTATTTCACTGCCCTGTAAATTGTATTCTCTTTTGTTTCAATGTTGATAATTCATATTAACAATTTTATTGTGAGTTGCCCATTAACTTTATACAGTCTATCTTTTTTGTTACATTAGTCAATTAACTTTTGCTGCAGTCATAGCATCTCAAAACAATGGCATATTTGCAGAATATTTTGTTTTATTAATCTGTTGCCTGTTTATACTTTTTTTTTTTTAATTAAAGAAACTAGGTTTAACTTGTTCTTTTTCAAATAAGGACACTTTATGTTCCAGGTGGCATAGTAAATAAAGACTATAGCATAATTTTTTTTTAATGTGTAACTTATTTTTGCTTTTAATTTGTTTACAGAGTTCAGTTTAAAAATATTAATTTGTTCATTGGCTCTACTTAGGGTTGGCCATGGGGAGAAAAGATAAGAAAAAACTTCTGTTTTAGGCCCAGTTCTGCAAACACTTAAGCTTGTTTGCTTAACTTTACTTGTGTGATGAGTCCTGTTGAAATTAATGGGACTACTCATATGAGTAAAGCTATATATGTGCTTTTGTGTTTATAGGATTGAGGCTTTAGGCTTAGATTTATTCACATGCATGACTTTACATATTGTGATTAGTCCCATTAGCTTCAGTGACAGCATAAAATTAAGCTCATAAGCCTGCAGGAGTTTGCCAAGGGCGCTTCCCTGCTTAACTGTTACATTTCAAAAAGATAAGCATTAGTGATGTGAAAATTTTCTGGAAAAACTACTCAAAAATAAATCATCACCCACATTGTCACCCCACAAGTAGAATGAGTTGTGCTTCTGTGGTCTGCATCTATGAAAGCATTCATGGCATCTGTGTGCAATGGCATGCTTCCATCACAAAGCTTCCTATCTACAAATGACATACAAGAGTGATTGAAGTGGGAGGGTTGAAACATATTTTAAGTATTGTCTGACTTGACATGGAATTATACACACAGCTGATTTAAGCAACAGTGCTAACCGTTGTTTCCTCTAGTAGCAACATCAACTTTATTTTCTTTTAGAGACAGTAAAAGTCCAATTAGAATGTTGATATCAAGTGCTAAGAAGTAACTTCCTGTTCATCTGAGTTAAGGTTAGAAGCAGATTGAGTTTTTCTCACATCTGTGACTACTGATTTTGTTTTTCTTTTGTCTTGTTACCATTTTTGCAGATAACTGCTTGGACACAACACTCTCCTAAATATGAAGTTTTTTAATATCGTTCTGAGAAGCATTGTGAGACATTCTGTTTTTCCGTTTGCTATGCAAAATGGGACCAAAAAAGATTTGTTTTTAACTCCTCCCCAGAGGTCATTTCCATGTAGAACACTGATTTTCTCTCCTGCCCTGAAGAAGCAGATTTCATCCAGCCCCACTGAGAAGCTAGATTTGGATGGGTGGAAAAATGTCATGAGATCTGGAAGGCAAGAGGAAGTCAGTGAGACATCTGAGAGTGAGGAGGATTCCACTTTAGCTGCCACAAGGGAACTTGTGGAGATGTGGAGGCTAGCTGGCAAAACTGTTCCAGAAAATATCAGTGAAGAAGAGTTAAAGATCCTTATGGGATGTTCCACTAAGTCATCCAAAAAGAAGTATTTAAAATACTTAGCTGTCAAAGAAAAAGTGAAGAAAGCTAGTAAAGTAAAGCAGGAAAAGCAAAAGGAAGCAAAGAAGGAAAGGCTGGAAAAGGCTAAAGAAAATGATACTGGTGAGCTGAAGAATACTTTCTTATTGCAGTTTTGGTCCAAGTCTATGGATAAGATGTATAACTGGAGGACTGCTCAGGCTATGATCTTTGGCCAGCCTCTAGTATTTGACATGGCTTATGAAAATTACATGTCACGTAGAGAAATGGAGAACACAGTGAATCAGCTAATGGAGACCGAAGGGTGCAATCGAAGAGCTATGGATCCTTTTCACTTACATTTCTGTAATCTCAAAGTAGATGGCCCATATCATAAAGAATTTGCTAAGCGCTATGGAGAGGCATGGAACAACTTACTTGTGACTGTGACAGAACAGTCTCACACAGATGTCTTTCCAAGAGACAAGCTCATCTATTTAACTGCTGACTCTCCCAGTGTAATGAAGACGTTTGAGCATGATAAAATTTATATAGTTGGATCAATGGTTGACAGGAATATACAGACTGGACTCTCTCTTGCACATGCAAAACGCTTGAAATTAACAACTGAACGTCTTCCACTCGAGAGGTACTTGAAGTGGGAAACTGGTGCCAAAAATCTCACATTGGACCAAATGTTTCGTATTTTATTAACTTTAAAAGACACTGGAGATTGGATGGAGGCGCTGAAATTTGTTCCAAAAAGAAAATACGAAGCTTTTGTAGATACATCTTTATATTCAAAGCATAAAACTGATACAGGGCGAAGAACAAAGGCGTTTGAATTTAGCAATAGTCAGGAAAAGGTAAAGAAGCCCTTTGTAGAGAATTCCTTCAGGAAGCAAGCACAGAAAAAATGGTGGGTATCTGAAGAATCTTAAGGGCAGATTATACTGTTAATAGGCTTAAATTTCCATTGACTTCTGTGGGAATTTGATGGAAAAACTGAAGGGTAGAAGAGTAACTAGAACTGCTGCCTGATATGGGTTTTTTATAACCTTTGTATTGCAGAAGCTTAACGGGGTGGGGGGGGGGGAGGGAATCCATGTGAAGAAAAGCTGTGATAATCAAATCTACAAATAGCACCATAAGAAAGAATGTAATTAAATTTAATAAAACTGTGGTGGATATAACTTCATTTAAACCCTTACTTGTTCAACACCAAATGCAGTAATACACTTGATCAGTTCATGGACTGAAATATGGTAAATATAGGAATTGTAAGAGGCTAGTTGGATATCAGTAATGTAATGGATGTAATGCAACTGCCTCAGTAAATATTTGCAAATCTTAGCTTTTCTATCCATTTACAACTCTAATAATGTCTTGAATACAGATCTTAGAATGTAGCTGATTTGCCCACTGGCTCATACCCCAGTGAATAAGTTGTGGTTTTGTTTTCCTAGGGTTTTCTTTGTTTGTTTTTAGAAAGATCTCATTATGATGCTGCATGATTTATTCATTCAAAGTATTTTAGTATCTGATGTGATGCCTTGTCAATGTAAACATAAAACAATCAGACCTGTGGTTCTAAAATTTACTCACCTTGTGGAAGAGGTGGGCCAATGTAAGACTTTTTTTATATATATTTTTGTCCCTTTATCATATGGATTTTCTAATCCTCTACAACTTTTGAAAATAATAAACACTGATGCTTGTAATACTCCTAGGGGCAGAGAGTCTCTTTAAATGTGGCAGTACTGTACTGAAAATACACAACACTTCTCAGATATGCACTGAGTTTAAATTACTGATGTAGGTGGAAATGACTGTTCAAGCTGTAGAATAGTTTTTTCCCCCCACCTTTGAAAAAGCCTTTACATGTCACAGTTCTAGTTACCCTCTGCCTAAGAGTAGTGAGAATGGGACAATTTCCCTATCTTGCCTACAAAAATTTAAACAGAAAAGTTATGACTTTAATGGGGGGCCGACTAGACTTTTTACAGAGGAACAAGGTGAAAAGTTAAATGTAGACCAGTTTACCTTCATATTTTAAACAGGATATCTTGCTCGATGTGACTGAAAAAAATATTGCTGATCAAAAGAATCTAACATCTCATTGGTCCCTGCATCTTTAAAAATACAAATTAGAATCGGTCTTCCTTTTGAGAAGCTACTTAGGATGGAATCTATGAAGTGTTATAAGTGTTACAATGCTGAGCATCATGGTGCCCATCTTAGGCACCTAGAAAATCACAAGAACAATGCTGTGCTCCCCAAAGCTAAGTTGAGCATCTAGGCTCCCTATACAATGAAGGGAGAGAGAGAGGCCTACAAGTGCAATCTGCAACAGGCTAAGGGAGGACCCACCTAATCTAGCCAGTGGGAGATGCAGACTAGAGTGGTGTATACTAAGCCCCACCCCTCTCTCGGAGAGGCACCCGTGTCAGTTTAGCAATCCACAAACAGAAATTTACTGCCTGGAGGTATATGGCAGAGGCACCTAAACTGCTTCTTGAGGGAATGAGTTAGGCACAGGCTGAGGGTGGTCTGCCAAGTAGGTAGATCACTTGGTTGGGATGTGAGAAACCTAAGTTCATTTCCCCACCTCTCTGCCAGCAGCGGAGAAAGAATTCCCTCTTGTACAAATACTAACAACTGAGCTATGGGATATTCAGATGTGGGGTGCCCTCAATCTCTCCTATTGAAGCTATTGCACTCTGAATAAATAACGAAAGAGTGATTAGAGCAGGGGGATGCCCTAGGGTCTCCAACATGGGTGCCCTAATCACTGGACTACACAATTATTCTCTTTTTCTTTCTCTGGCCCAAGGACTAAGTATTTATCCACAGCAGAACAGTCATTGGGCCAGAAAGCAGTGGGAGACCCTTTTTGAAATCCTTTCAAATTTTACCCTCCCCTCCCCCGCAAAAGAGCCATGTGTAAGCTTGAAAGCTTGTTTCTTTCACCAACAAGAAGTTGGTCCAATAAAAGATACCTCACCCACCTTGTCTCTTTAATATCGTGTGACCAACACAACTACAATACTGCAAACATCAACTTAAGTGCACTTGTATCTAAAAGTGTATTTTTACAAATAATGTAAGATTATTTGATTCATCTTTTCCAGTTACAATAACTTCATTTTGTTTTCAGTGACTTTACTGTGTGCAGGAGAGCATTTGGTGTTCAATCAACCTCACCTTTACTATTATCTATTCCCTTGCTTATCTTTTATACACTAACAGAAGAAAGAAAACCGTTTTTTTAAAAATAGGAAAATATGATTTTAAAACCATAAACGTTGGTGGGGTGACTAGGCTAAGTGTGGAACCACAAACTAGTTTTTAAAGCTCTTAAAACTGACTAGATTTGAAGGTGATAGTCCTTTTAGTTTAGCTCCATATTTAAAAATGAAAACAGGAATAGAATATATACAAGAAGAAATGCTTCAACTGGCCCTAGGATGACATCATCAGGGATCAAATCTGGGACCTCTGGATTGTGGACCTTCTGCCTGAGCTAAAAGATTCAGTTGTCAGCCAGCTCTTGAAACTGTATATCTGGGTCCACCACCAGCAGTGGGGTCTGGGTGGAGTGGGGATGGAAGCTTGTCCCAAGCTTCAAAGATTCATAGAGAGTCAAGGTGGATGAGGTAATATGAAGATTGTCTCTGTACTCTCCTGGGACCAATGTAGCTACAACACCCAACTATAGTTCAGTTCCTCCTGTTTGCCATCCCTTGTTACAGTGTGATCCTGGCTGTGTCATTAGTAGCAGAGACCGAACCTGGGACATCTGGTTTTAAAGCTGTGAGCTGTTCCTGTCTGTCTGAGCAAAAGGACTCTCCTCTCTCAGGGCTCAGAGGTTCAGCATCAGATGGTGGGCCTGATCTCAAACCCATAGTCTGTCCATTGACTTCACTGGGCTTTGAGTCAGCTCACTCTGGAGCAGTGGCTGCTCAGGCCAGGCCCAGCCTGACCTGTGTCTGTACCAAGTGCAGGCGGATCTGTGGGTCCAGGAATGGACTCCTGAGATCTCTCAGGACCCATATGTAAATCTGTGGTAGAGATCAGCCTCCAATTGAGGGCTGATGATGGTGCAGCAGCCAGGCTCCCATATGACGTGTATTTGCTCCACATTCTCCTGCCATTACGTGGGGCACGCTGTGTATCACTCTTAGGGTTACCATTCGTCCGGATTCCCCCGGAACATGTCTGGCTTTTTGAGCTAAAAATAGCGTCCGGGGGGAATTTGTAAATGTACGGACTTCCCCCCCTCCCCCCCCATGCAGAGCGCGCGCGGCTAACAGGGCAGCCGGCCGGATGGTGCCACTTACATGGGGCTCCGACAGCCAGAGAGAGCCCCTCCTCTGCTTCCCCTGCAGCAGCGATCACTCCCTCCTTCCCTCCCTGCGTTCGCAGATCGCCTCCGGCAGTCTGGAGCTCCTCCCCCGCTCCTCCTCCCCTGCTGCCCAGCGTGCCGGGACGAACGGCTCAGGCCATTCCTGAGCAAGTTCACAGAGATGTTAGGCGAAGGCCAACAACAAGGGGGCCAGGGGGTCGGAGAAGGGGCAGGGAGGTTTTGGAGGGGGCAGTCAAGAGACGGGGGGG